ACGACATCCGCGAGGCGCCGGCGCTGGTGCTCATCAAGCAACTGCAGGACGCCGGCGCCACGATCGTCGCGCACGACCCCGAGGCGATGGAGAACGTCGCCAAGGAAACCACCGGCATCGAATTCTGCGAGTCGATGACCGAAGCCGTGAAGGGCGCCGACGCATTGTGCATCTGCACCGACTGGAAGGCGTTCAGCCAGCCCGACTTCGCCGAGATGTACCAGCTGATGGCGTCACCGGTCGTCTTCGACGGCCGCAACCTCTACGACCCGGCGCGCATGAAGGCGCGTGGCTTTTGCTACCACAGCATCGGCCGCGTCGCGGTCGATGGCCGCAAAGCGTGAAGCGATCGAGCGTTCGTCAGCAGCGTTGCGCGTTTAAGTTAGCCGCCTTACACAACGGCGCCTCGGCCCCGAAAAGCCGCGGCGCCGTTGTTCTTTTCGGGGGTTCGTCAACTCAGGGGGCCTTCCTAAAGTTCCCCCGGTGGGCTGGGTCTCATCGAAGCAATCGACGTTCCGCATGACAGGAGGGGCTAAACAATGACGCATCGCTACACGACTCTCGCCGCCAGACGAACCGCGTTTACGCTCGTCGAACTGTTGGTCGTGATCGCGATCATTGGGGTGCTCGTCGCGCTGCTCTTGCCGGCGGTGCAAGCGGCGCGTGAGGCGGCGCGGCGGACGCAGTGCAACTCACAGCTCAAGCAGATCGGATTGGCGATCCAGAGCTACCACGACGCCAACGGACAATTCCCAACAGGCCGCACCTCGACCGATGAGTTTGGGGTGTCCTGGGCGTACGCGATCCTGCCGCAAATCGAAGAGCAATCCCTCTACGATGCGTTCGACCCGAGTCAGCCGGTTCACTCGGAGGCCAACGCGGCGGCAATGCGGACGCCGATCGCTGTCTACGCCTGCCCTAGCCGTGGACCCGCGACGGCCGATCGCGACTTCGACAACAACGAACAGGGCGCGGGCGCCAACGGCGAACCCCGCGGCGTCGCCGTCCGGGGCGACTACGCCGCCAATGCCGGACTCGAAGAGGACACCGGCATGGAAGACTCGGACTACCTCGAGGGTGAGGTCGACTTCCGGAGCGGCCACGTCGACTGGTCGCTTTCAGGGCCGATCTTCAGCAACTCGAAGATCGAGTCCCGCAATGTCACCGATGGGATGTCGAAGACACTCGCAGTTGGTGAGAAGTTCATCCCGCAAACCGAGGGGGATTGGGACGACGAATACATCCACGCCGCCCAGGGCGATACGTGCTTCCTCGCGTCGGACAATATCACCACGATCATGCGCGGGACCGAGGACGGCCTTGGTGACGCGTCGGATCGCATCGAACAGGGCAGACGTAATCAAGCGGCCCAGCTCTTCGGCGCGAGCAATCACCCGGGGATCGTGATGTTCGCCTTCCTCGATGGACACACGGAGGCGATTAGCACTGGCCGCAGCGGCCGGGCCGAGACGATCAACCCCAACCAGATTCGCGACGTCCCCAGCAGTCTCGACGCTGAGGACCAGGGGCTGATCGACCAATGGGGCTGGCTGATGGCGATGAGCACCATCGCCGGCGAAGAGGTCTGGACGGACTGAGACGCCCAAGAATCCAACAGGATCTTCGCCAATAATCGTGACCGATTGGCGAACGGCTCGATGCTAGGCTGATTTGCGCGGTGGCTGATGCCGCCGCCAAAGCGTCGAAATCCGGGGCCGGGCGATGGACCAGAAAGAGATCAACCAGGCCGAATGGCGGAATTCGGATAACTGGTACTTCGGCATCTACAACAGCCCTCGAGATACCCGCGTATGGGTCGCAAAGCGGATCCCATGGACCGGCTGGACGCTGAACTTCGCCCACCGCGCGGCGTGGATCTGGACCTTTGGCGTTGTTGTGCCTGCTTTCGTGGTTGCCTTTGTCGTAACTGCGGTATCCATAGCTGTATTCAAGTAGAGGCCACGTCGCCGCTACACATCGACAGCTAGGTGGGGNNGCCGTAGACGCAGAGCTCGAACTCTTGGCTGAGGCGTTCGAGCAGTTCGCTCGGCGCCGTTTCGCGATCGACCTGGATGCGGCTCGCGGCGGCGTAGCTGCGTTTGCCGAGCTCACGGTAGTTGAGCAGCGCATCCTTGCCGCCGAGGTGCTTGTTGCGCGCCGCGATGTCGGGGAAGACGCCGGTCCAGAAGAGCGTGAAGTCGCCGATGTGGCGGTGGAGCTGCCGCTTGGCGGGGCCGCGCCGGGCCTCGGCCTCGGCGAGCATGTCGGCCACCTGCGTGAGGCGTTCGCCCCGCACGCTGCGGACGGAGTAGATGTCGT